AGTGAACTCCTTTTCAACAGCTTAAATGGTCGAATTTTGGGGTATAATCACAAGTCATAATGTTTAGAACAAGCTAGGGTAAGTGGACTTACGATTTGGAAGCGTTTGGTTGCAGATTCAGGTCAAAAATGAGTCTAGAGAGAGAGAGTATAGAGAGAGAGGGTGGAAAAGGCTCAAATGGAGTTTACTCCCCCTTATATATGGGTGGGAGTTAGAGCTCAGTGGTATTCTACTTGATACTGTCGTTTAACGGGGCTTTTGTTCGCACCCGATTTAGTGGTCGTAATAATAAAAACTAACTTTTCCAACTAAATGGAAATGTGTATTACGAGTTTTTATTTCTCTTATCACGACTTAACGGCATAAATAAATGAAATATTTATTTAATTGGCGACCTGTAATTAACGGAAATTTTATACAGTGGCATATTCCGTTAATGGTAACGGGGTAATATAACGAAATAACTTTGGGTTGTCACAAAACACGACTTGGACCTTGACAAGAGTTGACTTAATTAACTTTTGGAGGTTTGTCAGACTAAGTGTTATATTGATATTGGTAGCACGGAGAGCTAGAGGAGCAGCACCTCAGAGGGTTGTCGGTTAGCAGCCAGAAGGTTATCAGCAGAACTTCAGCGGTGCAAGTGGGTTTCTTTCCAGTAGCAACGGGTCTAAGGCGACAATGTCGTCCCGTTCAACTAGCAGTAGTTTCCAGACTTCAGTCCAATGCAATAGTTAGTATGTTTGATGACTTCGTGGCTCTGACAGGATTTATATGCTATGTGTTCCAGACTACACCCGATGCAATATGCAGTATATGTGTTCATGCTACTTGATATGTTTATGTTATGCTATGTTCAGTTAGTTCCAGACTTCAGTCTGATGCAGTTAGTCCAGACTTCGGTCCGATGCAGGGGACAAGGTCCCAGTCAGTTTCGGACTTCGGTCTGATGCAGGGGGGCAAGGCCCCGGTTAGTCCGTACTTCAGTCCAATGCAGGGGACAAGGTCCCAATCAGTTTCCAGACTTTGGTCCGATGTAGGGGCAAGGTCCCAGTTAGTCCTAACTTCGGTCTGATGCAGGGGCAAGGCCCTAGTTAGTCCGGACCTCGGTCTGATGCAGTGAGCAAGGCCCAGTATGTGCTTTATATGTTATTGTATGGTATGTGGTAGTTTGGGGGAGCTCACTAAGCTTTGTGCTTACGATTTTAGTTTTTGGTTTAAGGTACTCAGTTTTCAAAAGAGGAGCTCGAAGAGGTTGCAGTGCACACAACATAGTCAGTTAGCCTAGGAATGTTTACTCAAATAATAATATTATGTTTTGGATTAATACGCGGAAAGACAAAATTGCAAGTTTGGTCACTGTGGTATGTCAAAAATTGGATGTTTGGTCCAAAAAGTTTTGGGGTTGCACTAGTGGTCCAAAAGCTTTGATTTGTTGTGGAATTAGTCCAAAGGCTTAACATGCCCACCATCCGTGTGAGGGTATTTTTGTCAATTCACGCCCATTCCTTTGATATCTTATTAAATTAAACCCCCTAACGTCTACTCTCCTTATTAATAGATCGAACGTGTGTTCCATCTTTTCCCTAAATCGATATCTCCTCCTGCTAAAATCAAAATCGTGTCTTCCAAACTCAAAATCAACAATGGTGAGGTGTTTCTGTGGTCAAATGGCGATAGTGCGAACGGCTTGGACTGATAAGAACCCTGGTCGACGTTTTTGGGGATGACCTAAAGAGGTTAGTATTCATGTGGTTGGTTATGAAGATTTTTCACTGATCACTCAATTCCTTCTTATATTTTGCTAGGATTCGACATGTGGGTTTGTGGGATGGATTGACCCTCAAATGTGTGAACGATCAAAATCAATAATACCTAGGAAGTTGGAAAATTAAAGGAAGAAAATCAAATGTTCAAGTATGATATTGGAAAAATAAAGGAAGAAAAATCAAAACTAACGTTGTCCCTGATATGCAGCTGGGTTTTTTTTGGGTTTGTATTTGTTCTGATGAAGTAGTTCATCCATGTTTTAGTGGTTTATTTTGTGGTAGATTTGGGAAAATTGCTATGTTTGTGAATGTACTCTTTTGGGTAATGAAGTTATTTGTTTCAAACATCTAAATATTTTGGTTCAACTAGACATAGCAGTGATGGGACAAACTATTAATGCTTAACACAACCTAATAGTAACATAAAGATGCTAAAAAGTAAAGGACAATGATGCATAAACAAAAGATCATCCAAAGTTAATAATCATTGTTTGCACATACCAAATTCTTGTTACATGACCAAAAAAACATCATTCTAAACGGAGGGTAAAGTTGTCCAAATAACATCAAAACCATAAAACAGACACTCAAAAGAACATCACAATGGTTCCCATAAGTAACACATTACATAGTCTTAATCCAACAAGACAACACATCAATTTCCTACTTGCCCCTTACATGTTCTTGCATTATGTACCTTGTTTTTAAACTTGCTACAAGTGACAGTCATGAACTTCCTTGTGAGTTTTCCACTGCCCCCTGGACCATGACCATCTATACCACGAGCACCAAATGTTTGACTTTGACTTTGAGTTTGGCTCTAACTTTGAACCTGACTTTGATATTTTTCCTCCATGGATCTTTGCCTCTTCTTCTTGGGCCTACCAGGCTGATTACGATGTGGAGTAGGGCTGATCTTTATTGGACAATCACTAACCTGCCACATGATACCACCTTTGATTGGTTCTACCTTGTAGGAATAAGCCTCTTTCCCGGTTTCAAGCCAATGCACCTTGTGTACATAAGTGTAAAGTTCACCCACATCCTCACCATTGTCAGCTTTATCAAATAGGACTGCAATCACATGCGTACAAGGAATTCCTGTTAATTCCCATTTCCTACAAGTGCATACCCTTTGGCCCATGTCAATAACATGTTGATCTTGCCATGGTCCTTGTACTTCATACTTGTCTGAGGAATTCCACCTGGCTATGTAGTTAGAAGCATTTGTTGTGTTTGTTTCCATGATCTTTATTGTTGTTGGAGTCAATAGACCTACACACTTCTGTTGAGCCTTTATCACATTGAAAATCCCCTTCATCATGTACTCATGAATGTACTCTAAGCATGTGATTATTGGTTTATCCCTACCTTCTATCAGTTTACTGTTAAACACTTCACATAGGTTATTCAAAAGCATGTATGTGATTGGTCTACCTGCAAGACAATTGTAATTTAGAACAGCATACAACAAATTTGTGTAACTTAGCACTGAATTGATAGTTATCTACCTATGAAATAGCTTCTAGCCTAGTGTTGTGGTGGGCTCTTCTTCAACCATTCATAAGCTTCTATGTCATATTTACTAAACTCTTTCATCAAACGATTGATATCTTGCACTGTTATTGCTTTGGCATAGTTCCATAACTTTTCTTTGTACTCAGTAGTTCTCCATCTGTTCCTCATGTTTTCATAGATATGTCTAAGACAAAATCTGTGTTCAGCAACTGGGAACAACTGTGAAATGTCTGGAATTAAGCCCTACAAAGTCATTAAACTGTGGTTAGTATAATACAAGTGTAACAACAAAACTAAAATACATCAAGGAAATCTATTACCTTTTGTCTATCACTTATGAAAGTGATGTTTGAAAGTTGTGACAGGTCCAAATCATCTCCCAGGTACTGTAGAAACCATTTCCAACTTTGTGTGTTCTCAGACTCAACAATGGCATATGCCAATGGGTATATACCATTGTTAGAATCTAAGCCAACTGCAGTCACGATCTGCCCTGGGTAAGCTCCTTTCATGAAGGCCCCATCTAAACCAATAAAATCCCTTAAGAATGATTTGAACCCCTTTTGCATTCCACCCAAGCAAATATAAATTCTCTGAAAACATCTTGAAGTTGCATTTACGAGATTTGGTTATTGAAGTAGTTCCAGTTTCACAGTTGTGTCAGGATTTGTGGACTGCAACTCTAATATGTAATCTCTCAGCACATCATATTGTTTTCTGTAATCTCCCATCACATGTTTTTTGGCATCTGCTATAGCCCTAAATACCTTGTCTTTGGAGAAGCTCACCTGATATCTTTTCTGAAGTAGTTCTTCTACACTTTTGATTGACACAGTTAGGTTAGATTCCACTAGATCCATAATCTGTTTAGAGATGAAGTTTGTTGTGGCCGTTCTTACCTTTCTTGTATTGAGACATGAATGCTCATGTTGGTAGGTTTTCATACACCAACTTTCTTCCTCACTTTTCCTATATGCTTGTAAAACCCACTGACAAGATAGTTCAGTACTTGTCTTTGTCTTTTTACTTTTGCCTTTACTTTTCTTCCCAGTTGTAGGTCCATCCACTTGCCCCTCATTGAATAATACTTATCCTTTGCATGTGGCCCACAACCTAAGTTTATCATTTTTCTTAATAAAAAGATTATTTCTGGTTTCCAAGGCATGATGGGCAATTTTGTCTTTCAACTCTTTTTTACTTTTTTCAACTCTATGTAATTATCCATGTAATTATCCATGTAATTATCCAAGTTATCTTCCATGGCAGCCTCATGTCCATGATCTAGTTCCACTTCATCTTGTACATTTTCTTCTACTTCTACTTGTGCATCTTCTTCTACTTCATCTTGAACATGTTCTTCCACTTCTACTTGTACATGTTCATGAAAATTTGCATTTGATTGTAATATCTTTTGATACAAACCAATATCAAATTTTGTAGTTGCCTCCATAAAGTCATTGGCAATAAGCTCTTTTTGTTTATCATGAACCTCGACATGTAATGGTTGTACCTCAACCTTAACAGTGGATGATCTAGGTGGGCTTGGTAAATCTTGTACCTCAGTTGTGGGGTTTTCATTGTCATCATTTTCATCTATTTCATCCATTTGTACCATAGTTACTTTCCTAACAGGTTTAGGATTCATAAAGTAGGTAAGTAACTTTGTCTCACCATGTTCAGTATATACCTCATGATTTTGTGATCACACACATATTAGGGAAAAGTTCGTAAATCATCATCACTGCCTAAGGGTTTAAGACCAAAGTGGAAGTCTCCACCAGGCACAAGGAAGTGATAGTAAATCACAGGAGGAACACCGTACCTGAACCTTTTCATGATAACATCCAACTCATGAACTGAAAATGTATCTATATCCACCATGCCAACATAGTTCACACTTCCGTCAATGTATTGAACATCAAGAAACTTGGTGAACTCACCTCCATGGTATAGCTTGATGGTAAATAATGTTGGGTGGCCATCTTCAAACCAACAACAAAAATAAGTTCAAAAGCTTGATTTCACTTACAAAACATGTAATGTACAGAGAAATTACAAAATCCTTACCATAAGCCACCTTTGCATTGAACGGTTTGTCTAAGAGCCTTATATTCCACATTGGTATGCTCATACACTGAAATAACACCGATCACAATAAAAAACTCAACTTGGAGGTTAGGGCTTTTGGGTAACGAATGAAGATGAAAGTGATAGGAGAGTCAATCGATGAAATGCACATAGGATTTGGCGGTAGGTATCAATTAATTAGGATGATGAGGTTTAATTTAATAAGATATCAAAGGAATGGGCGTGAATTGACAAAAACACCCTCACACAGACGGAGGGCATAAACGACTGTTAAGCCTTTGGACCAATTCCACAACAAATCAAAGCTTTTGGACTACCGGTGCAACCCCAAAACTTGTTGGACCAAATATCCAATTTTTGACATACCACAGGGACCAAACTTGCAATGTTGTCACGCGGAAATTATGTTATGATTTATGATGCGGTTTTTATAAACATGGTTTTAGTAATCTTTCTGAAAGAAATTTTTATTCGTCATATTTGGAACGTTACACATATTACCCGAAACATTTGTAGAGCCCCGATTCCAGGTATGAATTCAAATAAAGAATAATTGGCCTTATGACCTACTCGGCGAGTTGGTTGCCCTACTCGCCGAGTAGCAGCGAGAATAGAACGCGTGTTTAGTGACCTACTCGGCGAGTCCACTAAGGGACTTGATGAGTAGGAGCTGGCAGATGAAACCCTAAATTCTGGGGGTTTTACACCCTATTTAAAGGATCATTGGCCTCCACTAGACTCCCCTTACTGCTTCTTGTCCCTCTCAAACCCTAAATTGTGTGTGTGTGTGTGTTCTTTGGTGGGTTCAAGCTTGGAGGAGTAACCTTGGAGAAGGAAACACTTGGGGTAGCAAGGAAAAGCAAGGCCGGGAACTCGTGGGAAGCTAAGGAATTCCTCAGTCATCACTCTCTGGAAGGTATTAGTTTGTTCCTTAAGCTCATTTCTCTTTTAACCTCTTTTGGACGGGTGTTATGAAGGGCTCTCTATGTTTAAGCTAAGATCTGAAGTTGTAACTTCAGATCTGGACTTCCCTTGACCTCTATTTTCTTAAAGTTCCCAGCTTGTTCAAGGATGAGACTCTCCCAAGGTGTAAAACTCCATTAAGATCTTAGGTTGATCATTTAGGGCGTTTAAAGCCTTGCATGTGCTTAAAGTTTGCTACTTTACGTGATAAACATGCCTTAGGAGCTTGGATCTGTAATCTGGGACCTTGCCATGGCTTAAAAAGCATCTACATGGATTAAGAACTGCAAGGACTCGGCGAGTTGAATGATAAACTCAGCGAGTCCGATGAAGATGGCCATGAACTCGGCGAGTTGGATGAACAACTCAACGAGTTCGTTGAAGATTGCCTTGAACTCGGCGAGTTGTTAGAAGACTCGAAGAGTTGGCAAGGGTTTCTTCCAAATCTTGGTCATATATGAACTCGACGAGTTAAAAAGGGAACCTCGACGAGCCAATCAAGGATTTCACGACTTCTCGAATTCAGGAAGAACTCGGCGAGTCGGTGATCTGCACTCGGCCAGTCGAGTTAACATAGACTGTTGACTTTGACTGTGGACTTTGACTTGGACCAAGGGTTGACCAGTTAAATTCTATTGGTTTCTGGTAATTGGGAGATTTATGAAAAAGGTTGTATGGTATATATAGGTGGTGGAGTTCGTGTTGGACCCGAAAGTTGAGCTTTCCTATTTTTGATGACAGTTGCGAGGTGAGTTATCCTCACTACACTAAGGGGTCTAAGGCACCATGACCGGCCCATTCGATATGATATCCTAGTAGTTGTATTATGTTGAGTATGAGTTAGTTATGCATGCTAGTTGAAATGCTACAGGGTAGGTCTGTAGGACTACCTTCGATACTGATTGATTACCTATATGTGCATTATCTGTTACATGTTGATATGTTATGTGGGATGGGTTGAGGTTGTACTACTGCGTGTGTTAGCCAACAAACCCTAGAGTATTCCAGATATGAGCTGAGGGCCCGGTAGGCATTCCAGACTCATGCTGAGGACTTGGGAGCATTCTAAATACGAGCTGAGGGCACGGTAGGCTTTCCAGACTCGTACTAAGGGCTCGGTGGCAATCTAGATGTGAGATGAGGGCCCGGTAGGCATTCCAAACTCACACTGTGGGCCCAGGGGTATTCCAGTCTGTTAAGCTGTGGACCCGTTATGTGCTGTTCTGCTCAGTTTGTTATGATATGTTATGGTGTGACATATTATGTGGATTGTATGTGTATCGGTATTTTGGGGGTAACTCACTAAGCTCTCGGGCTTACAGTTTCAGTTTATTGTTTCAGGTACATCAGGGGATCGTGGCAAGGTGAAGGCATGATCGTATAGCTCCTCCTATTGTGTTATGTTTCTAGGAAAACTCTGATATAAATTTATTTTGAAAACAAAGTTGTAATGTTTTGATGAATCTGACATGTTTTGGAAGTTTTAATTTGGCTTGATTTTTTTGGTGTTACAAGTTGGTATCAGAGCCTTGGTTTGAGTGAATTGGAGGAACACTCGTGTGACTCCAGTCTCAAATCAAGGAAAGGATTTTCAAAATGATTTTTTTTTTCAAAAAGGTTTTAAAATAAATAAAGGAGCATGCAGGGCGTACGATCAGCCGGAGCCAGTAAGTAGACCCCAAAATACCATACAAGTTAATTGATTATATGATATGATAGAACAACATATTAGTGCTAGGCTAGGGATCTTCTAGAATTGCATGATAGAATTGTCTGAATATATGATGCCTGCTAGCCTAGGGTTTTCCTTATGTGAGATTGGCATCATTACTGTAGTTGTCTAATGTATGCATCACAGTTGTACATAATTAAGATCTAATAGCCTGAGAATGTTTGATTTGGCCTTATCTTCTGTTCTTATTTGACTGGGAGCTTGGGGTAGCATTGGATATTCGAAATTCTATATGGTCCAACGTTATGTATGGCTAGCATACATTAGTGTTGCAGGGTTGGTGAAAGTTTCATGGATAGGAGGGATTGAGTGAGACCGGGAGGTCAGTTATAAGATATTTAGCATTCCTCTAGGAGTGAGGATTGAGCACTCACCATGTTGTGCATATTGTTAGGGTGTTGTGGGGATACTTGGGACGAATATGGGTAGGTGTGGAAGGTAGTAGGGGCCCATGCTACTGAAAGCATAGAACCTATACGCGTGTCAAGTAAGTCGTAATCCCTAGGGTTAGTAGGGAGTTGGCTCCCAAAGATTTATATGAATTATCTAATATCTTGTGATATGTTTCAGAATGGTGATGATGAGGCGCTTCGTGGTTGGATCCGGTTCAGGATCAGGATCAGGGGATGGAGGCCAGGAGGGGCCGACAACACCTGAGCCGGTGGTGCAGATGGGTACAAAGGAGTTAGATGCCAGGATTCGAGAGATCCTGCATGATGAGGTTGTTGGTGCATTCCGGGCTCAGTGACTAGAGATGTTCGGGTCGATCAAGACCGCCATGGTGCAGTATTTTGATGAATGCTATGCAACCCTTATAGAGACAGCCTCCGCAGCAGCTGCATCACATGTATCAGCGACGGGAGGACGAGTTGGTAGAGTTTTTCAGTACAGGGACTTCGATAACACAAACCCCCTACTTTTGATAGTACGCAGGATCCCATCAAGGCTATGAGGTGGCTTTCAGATGTGGATGGGTGTTTCTTCACCTGCTCGTGTCCTGCTGACTAGAAGGTCAGGTGTGCTTTGAACCTGCTTAGGTCTGGGGCTAAGGACTAGTGGAGACTCACGACTGGGTCATACTCTGATGATCAGAGAGCTGCTGTTACTTGGGAGCAGTTCAGGGATATGTTCCGTGCCCGTTACATTCCACGGGTTGAGCGGGAGCGATTGTCACAGGAGTTTTTGAGTTTGAGACAGGATGGGGAGTCGGTGATGGAGATCACCCGGATGTTCACTGAGAGGGCGAGGTTTTGCCCGGAATTTGCTTCAAAGCAGGCTCAGATGACCCGTTATCTGAGCATGCTCAAGACGGATATCCGTTAGTTTGTGTCTACCCAGCGATGTGATACTCTTCTAGAGTTGCAGGAGGCCTCCAGACGGCGTGAGTTGGAGATTGAGCAGCAGTTGAGAGAACAGCGGCAGGCCCTGACACATTCTCAGCCGGCACCGAAGCGGTCTAAGACCGCTGATACTAGGACTGGGGGTCATCAAAGCCGCACATGTGGGAAGTGTGGCAAGGGTCATTCTGGTGTGTGTCGAGCTGGTAGTGGATGCCACAAGTGTGGTAAGGAGGGGCATTACACTAAGGACTGTCGCCAGGCCGCTCCAGTTTAGAGTATGAGGTTATGTTACCATTGTGATCAGGTTGGCCATCTGAAGCCCAACTGCCCGTTACTCGCCGCCAAGCCAGCACAGGCTCCAACACCGACTACTTTGAGGATCACGGATGAGATTCCAATCAAGAAAGAGCCTCCAAAGGCTCAGGGTTGTGCCTTCCAGCTTACAGCGGAGGAGGCCAGAGTAGCACTAGATGTGGTTGCTAGTATGTTTCTATCATTATCTCGTTTTTTGTCACACCCCAAAACCACGAACGGCGGAAACGTTCAGGGGTGGAGGACGTCATGTACAGTATCACAACAGTGTAATATAATAAACAAGCAACAACATCATCCATTGTATTATAAGTAAAGTTTTAATACATGTGTTTTTCTTTCATTGTAGTAAGACACCAAAAATATACAATCAAAATAAAATACGAGACTTGTCTGCTCCGTCTTCTCAAAACCTGGCCTCCGTACCTGTCTACTGATGACCTGAGAATACAAGTTATTTTGAAAGCGAGTATCAGCTTTAAAGCTGGTGAATTCATAAGTATATAAGTGTCATTGCCTTGTTTGTGAAAATCTGTTATAAAGGCCATGTAAATCGTTAAATGAAAATGTTGATGTACGTATGAAAAACCCTAGAAAATCCCTTATTTCCTATTAGTTTGAGATGTAGTCTTCTACCAAGACCCGAATGTTTTGTAAGTAAAATGATAGTTTTCCTTTAATTGT